TTCTCCAGGTGTTTGACAACTATGCTGTGACAGTGATGATTGGTGGAGAGGCGTACACTCTGGGAATGTTTAACACTGCAAGTAAAAAATACATCTAAACTCAGTGTATTTAATACAAAAAATTCTATTGCTGACTCTGTTAAGGTTCTCAGTCACCCAGATCATCGTTGTCTAAGGAGCTTAGAAAGAAAAAGCTAAGGGTGGCCTAGGATGTAATAAGTGATGACATTATTGTTGCGTTTGTCTTTCTGATTCTCCCTAGTTGGTGTTTGAACTTCTTTTCTGTGCATTTTTACTAATTTGACAGGAAGGTCAGACACCAACTAGGGAGAAAAAAAACTGGTTCATCCCAAAGACAAAGCTCTCAAACACAAACTTAACAACGTAGCGTATGCTGTACAGTGTAGCGAGGAATGCTCAGACCTCCCAGACGCCTTAACGCCCACTCACATCCTGGGCCATTTGACCTCAGCCCCCCAAATCTAGCCCCACATGATAGGGTGGGGCTAGATTTCACAATTGGTTCACCCCAAACCTTGGCTGATTGTGACCCACACCTGTTTCCATACCTGGATTAGGTAGAGGATCAATAGGAGGTCCATGACCCTCTTGGAGACAGAGCTTAAAATCTGACATTCTCCACCAATTACTCTTAGAACTGAAGAAGCTACTTGGATGAAAGGTGAAAATGTCTTCAAGAAACTTAATGGGTTTAGACGCTTTTCTATGAGGTGCCCTAGGGGACATTATTACTGAAACGCTCTCACACACTCCACTGAAAAACCAAGGCATTTCAGTTGAACAGGAAGTCTTTACCTGACAAGGAAACTGAAGGAAAAAGTGGTAGATTTCAAACAAACCACTACAGAGACAGTCTACTCAGCAACCTGCCAGTAGCCTAAGTGAAGCAGCTGCATAACTTAACAATATATTAGCCTCAGCATAAGTCAACATTTAGAATAGCAGGAGACGGGCATTATCCTGGTTAATTTTTTTGGGCAAATTTGCTTTTTTGTATTTTTTAGCAAAGAAAAAATATCTTAAAATCATTAATAAAACCAGGGAGAGAAGGCTTAGCATTTCTTCATTTAGCACAATGGATATATTTACTCAAAAGTATGATGATGTTAATAATGTCTGAGATACCCAATGCTAGTTGATCCATATAAAAAATATGTAATGTAATTCAAATGGTGGCACATCATTCATTTTTAGGGAAATCCAATTTTTTAAGTCACACCAAAAACATTGTGTGATAGGGCATAGAAAAAAAAAAGATGTTCTAGGGTTTCATTTTCATC